CACACGTGTGGCAGACAGTCTCTTGGCCTCCACAAGAGGAATGGAAATTGGGATAGGATTTAAAAAATACAGAACTGACACTAAACACTAAATTTCTCAGTGCTGCTGGCCGTATGAGTATAGACCCATTCCCACCTTTCATCTGGGGGCCAAGAAAGACATAGGGTAGCATTGCTCCAGGCTAGACGCCCCCCCCCCCAAAAAAAGGCTCAGTTCATTGATTAAAGCTTTAGGTTTGGGGGAAAATACCAAGTTTAATCCTAGTTTCCTTTCACTTCACATCTCACAGCCCGTCCTGACATCTGATTCTGGGCATTGGCTTCCTTCTACGGTGTTTCTAGGGCCTCTGCAGCTTTTCAAAACCCAGCCTTGTTTAATCTAATCATCCATGGGAGTACAGTCACATGCAGATCAGCACAACCAGAGAACTCCTTCTAACCACAGCAAAACATGGGCAGCCATGGGGTTGCCTCTCAGCCACTTCCTTAGCCTCCAGCTGAATATTTGGCCTTGACTTTTTTTTTTTTAAAGATTTTATGTATTTATTTTAGAGAGAGAGAAAACACGAGTGATAGAGCGAGCCGGGGGGGGGGAGGAAGGGGGGAAGGGGCAGAGGGAGAGGGAGAAGCAGACTCCCCACTGAGTGGGGAGCCCAATGCAGGTCTCGATCCGATCCCAGGACCCTGAGATCATGACCAGAGCCAAAGTCAGATGCTTCACCAACTGAGCCACCCAAGCACCCTTGGTTTCGACTTTCTAAGTTGCCTGACTTTAGCTTAGGAAGCATTTTGGAGTCTTTCATGGTGGAGAGATTCACTTAGCACATTTTATAATTAACTACTATAAAACCAAGCTTCAGCAAGTTTGCAAATTATGGATTTCATTAGTCTAAATAAAATCAGATTGTTCCCCCTAGCATATTAGAAGCTGGCCCAACATCAATAAAATTATTATTTTGAAGAACCATGTGGGCAGCAGGTGCAATCTTTATTATTACAAGCCAATAATAAAAGTTTGACAAGTTAAAAATATAAACTCAAAATGTAAACTTACATTCATCTGAAAACTCTCTACAGTTCACACTTGGATTGTAAAATGGCCATAACCACATTTCTTGCCTCCACTCAAGGCACAGGGATGGGGACTGTGTTCTTGATGGTTTAAAGCAACTTTTTAAAATGTCCTAATGGTTTAGTTAATGTTTACATATACATAAGAGCAAGGGGGAAGACAAATTATTACTGCCTGTGTAGTCTATACTTATCAAAATCTATTTTCCGGAAGCCTGTATTGGCATCAGTTGATGACATACCTTCAGAGTCTAGCTCTATTTATTTATTTATTTATCTCTTTAAGATCTTATTTATTTATTTGACAGAGAGAGAGCGAGAGAGAGCAAGTGCACAAGCGGGGAGAGCGGCAGAGGGAGAGGGAGAAGCAGGCTCTCTTCCAAGTAGGGAGCCCCACACCGGGATCAATCCCAGGACCCTGACATCATGACTGAGCCGAAGGCAGATGCTTAACCGACTGAGCCACCCAGGCGCCCCATCTTTTTTTTTTAGAAACAATTAGCAGGAGAAGAGAAGTGTTCACCTTAATATGTGGTCTAGGAAAAGAGTCACTTTTCAGAATTGTCCCTCGAAACCATCCTGATTTTTACAGGATGGATAGAAAAGGTGTAACAGAGGCACTTCAGACTTGCTATTTATCTTACATGCTCATTTGCAAGTTAGGACGTTTTTCAGATAGAGGGGGTAAAAGACCAAAGGGAAGTTTTGATTCAGATACAATGACTTTGTATTTTAAACCAGTATGTGCCGAAAGAAGCAACGGTGGGGCGTTGCATGAGAGACTTTAAGTCTGTTGAGAAAAGCCTTATTCTCAATCAAATCTATCCTCTTAGTCTGTATAGGAGAAATAAAGTAGAAAAACTACGGGAACAGCCTGGAAACTTTTTCCACGGCTTGCATTTTGAGCATGGTCATATATTTATGCTGTGTACACGAAGCGGATTGCACATTTGGGAATGGGCTCAAGCAGAGTCAACGCACTCGGGCAAGACTGAGGTCACTTTGTCACCGTCCGTGGCCTGTATATATAACCTCCCAATCTGTAAAGTGGTGAGTGTCTAATAAAAGGGAAGGGAGGAAATTACATAAGAATGGAGTGGAATTAGAATCCAGAGCATGGTTAGCTCAGACCCATGGTTTCATGCAACAATCTAAAAATAAAGCCCTGGAAACAGATCAGCCAGAAGCATTACCAAAGATCACACTCGCTGCAGAGGCAAGACCGTAATCATAGACAGATGATTAGGAACTATTTTGTGAGGTTATCATCTCTAATGTCTATAAGGCTCGTACTTTATGACACATGCTCACAATATTTAGGCAAAAAGTGAAATTAAAGAATAATAAAGCAATTAGAAAATAAAGCAAATGAAAGCCAGATCCCCTTATGAAAGGGAAATTAAGTCCATATCCCCCACCCCCAGATCTTAAATTTCTCCGATTCGGCTATACGTAATGCAGAAAGGCAAATTAAGTAGGCAGTGTTTGAATGAAGAATGGCCCATAAAGAATTCTAAAGAATTAAATAGAGCTGGCCCAACCAAGAAATTAAAGGGAACCCAGGGCAGAGTCATGGATCAAAGATTCAGGTTTGATTTTTCCCATAGAAGCCTACATTTCTCCTGCATCGTTCCCTTGTAAAACCTGCACTGTCCAATCCTGCACTGTTAAGAAAAGTTCTTACCGTACATGTATAGTTTTAATAAAACATTTGTTCTCATCAGCAACTGTCTTCCTACCTCTCAGACTGCCAGGTTGGCTGGTGTCAACCCCTGGTTTAGGAATTCAGGAGGTCCGGGAAAAGTGATGCTAGAAGGTTCTTCATTCCAGCCCAGCTGCCTTGAGAATCAGTGCAGCCCCAGAGACGTTGCATTTACTGCCTCAGTGGTTCTCTTACAGAGAAACCTCCCCGATGCTAACGATGTGTGAGAGCAGATCACTGCAGGATTGAAGGAAAAGATAGCTCTTCCCTCAAGACCTCTGTAATCCCTTCCTGAGAAGATCAGGATTTAGGGCTCGTAATCTTATGGATGGATGATGCCACAAATCAACTGTGTTGCTTACCCAGTCCGAAACGAACCAGCCTCTGCCTACCCAGGGATTTAGGACCTTTCTTTTAGAACTTCCGTCACTCTGAATAATGGTGATTAATTACTGGCGTACTTTTGAAATCATCTCTGCTCAATTACAATCCTCTCAAGGATTTGGGCTAAATCTTCTTAGCTTCCACTGCACATTCTCAATGTTGCCTTGGGCAGCTCTTGTTTTTCTCTCACTGACTCGTGCACCGACACAGATGGGTAAGAAATACTAAGGATCTATATCTGGCTGTTTTATTATCAGTTTAATAGGTACGAATGAGAGATAGGTGAAAACATATTCCCAGGCCAGAAGCTCAGGTGGCTTATGTGTTTTAAAAAAGCTTTTTGGATATGCCAGGTCTTCTAGAGAAGCACACCAGAGAGTCACACCTCATTATTAGCCCACCTTACAGATGAGAGACTGAGACTAGATGTCTGAATCTCTTGCATGAGACCAAACAGAGACCATCGAGGCAGAGATGGGACTCCATCTTGAGGCTAAAGAAGTCTAATTAATAACATGTAAATTATTATCAGTGATGCTGATGGATGGTTATTCATGTTAAGGTTTTATGTTTGTGTGTGTGTGTGTGTTTTTTCTTAGATGGTAAAAAGAGGGTCAGTTAAGAAAACTGAGGTTATGATTAATACTTAGGAATTGAAATTTAACTACCGATTTCTATTTCACTGCTGCAATATATTGTCTTACACAATGACATCTTTGCTTTGAAGTTATTTTAACTTTCCAAAGAAAACATAGCAGCTAGAAATCTACCCCTTATGAAATGTTCTCTGCCTACTACTACTAGGAATGTGAAAAAGAAGCTTTAATTTCTGTTTAAAAATTATGGTTTTAGGTTAAAAACTAAATCCGTTTAATAAAAATACAGCAAAAAAGGTATCAGACCGTACTTTGCTCCCGAAAGGATGACGATAAAAGGTGATAAATACATTTAAAATGAAATGAACTAGTTAACTAAAAAGCAAAAACAGAAGGGTATGTGGGTGTAAATTACAACTGGTATCTATAACCTACCCAATTTGGTCCCTCAAATAACTCCATGAAATCGGCAGCATATTCCTGTATTTCAGATATGAAAACAAGCTTTGAGAGTTTAAATAGTAAGACCAGTAGAAAGTACTCTAGCAAGAATTGAGCCCAGATGTGTCTGATTCTAATGTCTAATTCTAAGTACTAAAGTACTCATACACTGAGCCTGGGTCATCGCCTCGGAAACACATTTCCTAACTGGTGGGATATTTTTCAACAACGAACTCAGTCCTAAATTTCTAATTTTAAGATTTAGATTCGTTTCTTAGGACACAGAAATCGGGTGACATTGGAAGACAAACCCTGTTGACTGCTGGCCTGAACCCTGTTCACTGTCTTTGCTATTAAAAAAGGAGATAGGACTGTTTACCATGAGCTATTGTTTACCTTTGACAGGAGCTCTGATCACGCACAATGGAATAAACCTGACAAATTTCTGTGCAAACTGATTAGCCCTGGATGAGTCAGTAGAGCCTCGAGTAACTTTTAAGAGCGACATCCCTGCAATTCCATAATCAACTGTGACAAATTCCATTTGCTACTGAACACAGGATCAGTAGCAAATTTCTTTTAAACTCTCAAATGACACTGTCAAAAAGGAAACATCTACTGTGTGCCTGGCTTTGCCTTCCTCCTCCCTAACTAGTTAACCCTAAAAGTGCAAATGTAAACAAATGTAATCCCCAACAGTCCATCTGAACCTGGAGAAATCTGGAATTAATTGCCAAGTATTTTGGTTCCTGTTGCAGCTGTTACGAGTGTTTGATTTGGCGAGGGCAGGGAAAAGGCGCTGCATACCAATTTCGTGAGCCACGGTGAATGCTGCATGGAGGCCATCATCTTCAATCACGGCACAGCTGCGCTCCGGAGAACATATGGTCCCGACGTCTGCCATTCCCAGGGTGTCACATGAATGATGCCCACATAAATCCTGCCCGGGAGAAAGAAAGAAATCATTAAAATCAATTTACATCCAGAAGGAGCCACCTTGTAGAGCCACTTGCTCACTCCAAACGGCAAGAGTGGGATATGTTTATGGTATCACCTGTTCAGCTCTGGAAATGGTCCAAAGACAAACTAACGGCATCGACTCCTCTACGCTTCTCTGGGTCCCAGAGGCACAGAAGGAGGATGGGACTCAATTACATTTAAAAAAGATGTCCTAGGATTGTGGTTTGTCCCTTACAACAGCCGCTGCAGCTTTCCCAAAGCTCTGCTGCGTATCTACAGGCACATGTGTCTGGGATCACTTTCACATAGAGTCCGGCTTACTAAAGCCCTAATGTTCTGGCTTGAATTCGTGCTAATTTATCAGAAGCCTGGCCTAATAATTTATTTTCCATCACCGGGGCAAACTGCAAGCACTTTTTGTGGCAAAATATCAGTGTATCAGTAATTCAAACGGGAAACTAAATTGTAATCCAGGAGTGTAATTCCTGGAAAGATCATCTCCCAATTTCCAAATGGAGCTGTAATTTCAGAGGTTGTGTCTTCAAAAATGTATACGCTCTTACTCATAGCATTTCATGTAGATTGAAGATGTAGATTTCATGTAGATTTCTCAATTTGATCGATCCGCAGAAAATACATGTAGTATATTGTGTTTGTATAAGTGAGTGTGTGCATTTTTTTGGTGAGAAGTTGTAGAGCTCTTAAGAGATTCTCAAAGAAAAACAGGATCACATCCCCTTAAAATGTTCATTAAAAATGATCAATTTGGATGAAAGAGACATCACAAGATAATTTTAAGTTATGAAGCATAAAGAGAAAATATAAACCAAAATTTTTGACATGATAGATTTGTAATGAACAGCTTTCCCTTATATGCTATTTGAGCATTAAAAGACATTAGAACTTCTTGTGCTTGACTACTGTTTTCAATGAAAATTAATTAAAATCATGTACATTTACATCCAAAAAAGCAAGACAATATCCTAGAGTAAGCCGTAAGTGAATAATCGTAGAAGGAAAGAATTTTTAAAAAAAACATCAATTATTATGAAAGATGATATATTTACCAGTTGCAATAATAAGTGTTGTTTCTATTATAGCTACCGTCTTTGTATCCCCAACTACCACAACGTCTGGCTTATGCTACAAACTCAACGAACGTTTGCTTAATTGAGGTGAATTGTGACATACAGTCAGATGCAATGTAGACCTTGCACACCTTAATATGCAATATGCTAGCAAGATCTCAACAGATTCTTGGAAGTCAGTGCAAGATATCATTACTACATAACCAATGTCACCTACTCAATGTCAACATACTCTTCTAACTCTTCCCTATATTGCTGCATACAAATCTAATCAAGGTAAAGAATATCTAAAATATATACCCTATGATCTCTCTAGTACATTTTCAGGTTCTTATTGTGTTCTATATATTATGAGATCCCAGCTGTGATGAATTACATTGCTGCCACCACGTTATTACAGCTTCAGACAGTGGAAATCTCGGCCGAGTAGCCTTGGTGAATCAAGTGACCAAACCAGCAATAGCTTCCCCAAGTTTCCTGTGTATCCTCATATGTCATCCGTGGGATCTCAAATTACAGCTGTTGAGAACAAATTAGTAGTTTTTAAAATTGAAATTGGAACACACTTTCGCATAATAATCAGTCTTTGAGATAATAATATAGTACAATACATTTTTAATTCAGTTTTTCTCCAATCATTTCGGTAACTTTAAGACGAAAGACTCAGTTGTCATTGCTAGACACCGTAGGTTATTTCTGCACACACTTTTTTAAACCAAGATTTATGTTTATCTTCATGATTTGGGGTTCGTTATCTTCAAATAATAAAATGCAAGAATTGTTTTCCCTTCTTATTCCATATGTCATTTATAAGCTCAGATGAAGAACCACAGTCAATGGAAATGGCCCTCCCATTCTGAATAGAGTTTAAACTGGATTCTTAGTATCTCTCTGTTGCTGGTAGCAATTGCTCATTAGAGGCTATCAACTGTCCTTGTTATCCTTGAATTGCATTAAATTCATTTGGCCCTTTGCCATAAAAATGTGTGCATGTGACAAAATTGTGAACAGAAGCAGGTTTTTTTTTTTTAACCATACTGATTAAACCCCTTGATGACATGGCCATACTCTATATATTTTTGTAACAATAATTATGTAAACTGGCTCTCAATTTCATTCACACAATTTCAAACCTTGACAGCCCTGTTATGGTTTCATTCCCAAGATGTACAATGAATGTCTGTATTTCTTTGCAATCCAAGGTTCATTTCAATGTATTAAAACTCAACTTGTGCATCAAACTTTAAGAATACAGCACATCACACTCATGTTTATTTACTGGTGGAATTTTATAACAACATTTATAGGTGCAAACCTCAAAGTTTGTAGGAGTTTTTTTTTTTTTTTTAATTCAGAACAGGAGTAAGGAAACTAAAGTGGCAATAGCATCTATCTATCTATCAATCAATCTATCTATCATCCATCCATCCATCCATCTTATGGATCTGGAGGCAGGCGAATACTGGAAAAATGTGAATCACATACACTGTCCACAGAAAAGGTAATTAAATTACAAGTGCTGACAAGAGTTTTTCTGCTTGGTCAGTGTAGATAGAAGGTAAGTTACTTCTTTGTTACGTTAAAGATGGTTCTTTTCATGCAAGATCAATATCTTCTCACCATGGTGTAGATAGCAATGCAAAGGAAGATTTAGTAAAATGGAAGGGTTGCAAAAGTATGTATGTAACACAAAAACAGAGCTGAGATGGTCAGCAAGACCAATGAAGACTTGACGGGGAGGTCATTGACATGGTGACCATTCACCAGGTGTGGCCATTTAGAGGGCTATGAATATGTCAATATCTGTGATTCATCATGGAATTTAGAAGGCCCAGTAGCACCCAGATCTATTCTTTTGGATGGAGTAGGGGGCAGGGATCCAGTGAAGTATGCTACCGTGAGAAGCAGTTGCCCAGAAGATAGTACAACTTAGCAAATCCCAGTGGTCGGTACTGGGTGGGGAAACTGAACCAAGCACACATGAGAATGCACAGAGTAGAATGAGTAATAGAGGCTGCAGGATTTCTAGCCTTGACTGGGAGGCTGGTCTTTCAAGAAGCATAAACACACCGAGGGAAGGAGCCAGAAGAAACACAAGGGGAGAAGAGCAGATGTCATCACAATTGCAACAATGAAAGCCCAGATTAACCAAGAATACCTTGTACAATGGAATCTGAAGTTAAATAACAGCAACTTCTGTTTCCATAGAGATTCCCATCTCGTAAGCATGGTAAAGCATGGAGCTCAAGAGAAGGACACAGAAGAGGGTTTAACTAGTCTTAGATGTCTGTCTCTCTTCCCAATTCCTATGAAGAGGGGTTAGTGATAGAAGAATTAATCTGATGTGGTACATATTTAAGTTATATGTATTATACAAACATACAGTGGCTCAGTTGGTTAAGTGTCTGCCTTCTGCTCAGGTCATGAACCCCTCATCGGGCTCCCTGCTCAGCGGCGAGTCTGCTTCACTCTCTGTCCCTCACTCTGCTCCTGTTCCCTCTCTCTCACTCTTTCTCTCAAATAAGTAAATAACATATTTTTAAAAACTGGGATTGCATAAAAATATACAAACAAAAAACACATACACTTACACACCATATTTTACATTTATCTTGTGCATCCAATTCTTGAGGTGTCATCTATCTTTCTGGCTACCTATGCAGCAATCCCCAATCACAGAGGTCTTGATTTAGATCTCAAGAGAAACTATATATTTTTTTTTAAAGATTTTTTATTTATTCGTTTGAGACACAGAGATACAGAGAGAGAGAGAGAGCATGAGCAGGGGGAGAGACAGAGGGAGGAGAAGCAGGCTCCCTGCTGAGTCAGGAGCCCGATGTGGGGCTCGATCCCAGGACTCTGGGATCATGACCTGAGCCGAAGGCAGACGTTTAACCATCTGAGCCACCCAGGCGCCCCTCAAGAGAAACTATATTAATTGGGTCTATTAGTCTGATTATTATAATGACCCATATTATACAATCTCTATCCACGCTTCTGAATACAACCAGGTAATATCGAACATTACAGAGCCCAGCTGGATTAGGGACCAAGGGATCCAGATTCACTTATTCCTAATTACTGTGTGCCCACAATCTGCTGATACTGTGATAAATAAATATGATCTGATCTTGACCTTAAGAAACATCACAGTCTAGTGAGCAGAACAGATATGCCAAGAGGGAAGCAGATTATGACATGCTATTATGAACAGATTTTTGAGGGAATGCAGAAGAGGAACCGACAAGCTCTCCCTGAGTGAATCAATAAAATTGTCTCGAAGGAGGTAACTAGATATCGAGGGATGGATAGAAGTCTGACAGTTTTAGAGGAAGGGATCCTAACTAGGAAAGACTGGTCAATACATCAGGGGATGGTAAAAGGTAGGTTCTATTTGGGAGAATGACAGGAAGTTTGTCATGACTGGAGAATACAGGATTTGTTGGGTGGAAGGCAATCAGGAGAAGCTGGAAAGACAGTCTGGGCCCAGAGTTCCAAGATGGGACATTTTGTCTGTAAACATGAAGTAAGAAGAAGGGGGAGAGGGAGGCAGTGAGTTAGGGATTGCTGAGAGGACATGCTTGGAAGAGTCATTTTGGAGAACAGGAATGGAAGCTGATTAGACACAGTGAATACAAAGTAGATCACTTTTTAATTCTAACGCTATTAGTAAGAGTCATTACGTAAGTTGTTTATATGCTTTGAGACAAAGTTCCTTCATCATTAACATAAGGGATTTGGATCAGTTGATCTCTACGTCTTTCCAGTTCTACCTGTGTTGGTATTAAATGAAAACACTTCAATTTATAGGTGGAGAAATTAAAGCTCAGGGGCGGTAAATGTCCAAAGTTGCAAGCTTGAGACTGCTGAAGTCAAAATTCAGACCTATATC